CGCCATCTGCTTAGCGGCAGTTCAGTGTCCGCTGCGCGGGGTTCCTCCGGCTCCACGCCCTCAGCCTCCCCGGGCTTGGGGGTGGGCGGCTTCTTGCAGAAGTTGCGGGGGAGAAGGAGAGACGCCGTGAGCAGCGCAGAGCGCCTCGGCTCCTTGTGCCTCGTAGCTCTCGGGCAGCTGAGCTTCATGTGCTTTCCTGAAGGAATATCGATGATCACACTGGCCGCCTGCTGTGCGGTTTCGAGGGTCGACGGCATTTCTTGATCTTAAGAAAAAAAAAGCAAACTCGAGTGTCATTGATGCGTAAATGACATCTCGCAATCTAACTTCTTATTTTTCTGTGGTTCGAGAAGAAACTGGGGGGGGAGGGAGAATTAAAAAACGCACAGCACTTTCACCGAGCTGCAAATGCTATATTGTTCTGTCAGTAAGCAGCACATCTAAACCTTCAAGTTTAAAGCTAGTATCTAAATTCATGTCTGGCTTCCTGAGTTAGTAGTAGGCTGACTTAAATGCTGAGTGCATTAAAATGCCCTCGCATGTCTTGTAGTCCGTGAGAAATGCAGGCGTCCGTCAGCTGCAACTACCAAGCTTACCCAATTCTGACATAATGTGCGGTATTCCTGAGTTTGAACGGCATGTGTCATTTAAAACAACCTTCCTGTGCTTCACAACTGCAGGCCCCCCAAACTGCTCAGTGTAAGGCTGTAAAATTGTCACCTTTATGTCACACCTCTAAGCTGATAAGCCATGGAAAAGTTTGAGGCTAGGAGATCACCTAGTAGTCCAGTGGCTGCAGGATTTGGGAACTGTTGCTGGAGGGTTCTGATGACTTCCTCATATCACAAGAAGAATGTTGTAAGTTGATAGTGGAAATTATCATCTGTAGTAAGCAGTCTGGTTCCCTTTTGTGAGAAAGCAGCCACACAACCCTTTCTACTAAAGGAGTCAGATTTGCAGAGGGCAAAACCCGCAAATACTTGTCTGTGTGCTTCTGCTGGTGCCTGCCTGCAGCCTCCTTGTTATTTCCCCAGCACTCTGCTGGTGGAGCAGTTCACATGAGTACTTCTCCATTGGCTTCAGGCAAAATATGCCAGCTCTTATAGACTACACAACAGCAAACCAGTGGAATCAGTAATTTACTGCTCCCTGCTGTTCTGTGCTAATATGAGTGAGAAAATTAGGATCAATTTGTTTTACTTCCTTCAAGATCATTTTTTTACTTGCTTTCATAAATATTTGTAAGTCTAGTTGTCCTTTAGTTGAAAATCATCTTTCTCAGTGGTGAAGCCAGCAGAGAATAAATTCTTCCTACAGAGTGTAAATGTGCTGTCTCTAAAGGAGAAAAAAACAAAGAAAAACTAAAACCAAACCCAGAAACCTTTTATCATGAGGTAGTGTTATAAAATGAAACAGATGTGAAATTAATTTCAGGAAGAACCATTGAAGCACTATAGCTTTTAATTATGTGCATTTATTTCTCATTACTGCATAGTTTGGGATTTGGATACTGTTTGCCTTTGTTCTGCTTTTGTTACTACTATTTTTTGAGGTACAGTTTAAAAAATGCAACACAATGAGTAAACCAGAGAATCATTTTCATTGCTAAGAGCTGTCATGCATGCATGCATTTTATTATAAGCTTTTGATATTCAGTACTAATCCAGTGATTTGTGTGAGAACGTTAAATAAATGTTTCAAGGATCAATGCTTTCTAAATTTGCTTTGAAAAAATTGAGCTACTGCAAATAGTGACACAGCTTTTATTGATTTTTTTTTTTATTCCCTCCCCCCCTTCCCCCTAATTGAATTTAATCACCAAATACATATCACAATTCTGAGCTGGTTTGTACACGTGAATACCAGTTGTTCCTGTGAAGTCAGTGGAGCTACTCCAGTTTGTAAGTCTGCGTACTTACAGTATTAGGGGTTGTGGTATTGTTTTACAGAACATATCTTTTCCCATATTTGCTTTTATTAAGTGGATATAGTCAGGCATTTTGAATGATTAATACCACTGGGACTTCGGGGAGCAATGACCATTAGGAAAGCTATTAAACTAAGTTAAAATTTCACACAAATGAGAGAGGGAAAATATAGGATTCAAAGCCTTCATATTTTGCAGCCAAGTTAGTTTAATTAACCTCTTTCTTCTGATTCTTGGTATAATTTAAATACTGATGTAATAATTATTGGTATTCTCAAGAACTGATGAATGGTTCTTCAGATGAAATCTTAGTCTAACACGTAAAATTTAGGTCTTTCTTGAAAGAGTGTTTCAGTCAGTACTGTTGTTTTAGGAGTGTGGTGCAATGTGGGATAGAAATTATAAAAGCTAGCAGAGAAACATAATCCTGTGTGGTGGTGATTTGTCATTGTCTGCATTGAATGCTGTTGTTAGCAGCATTAATCACAATGATTTATAATACAGGACACGTGTTGTTACAAATTCTCAATTTTCAATTCAACTGTGTATTGAACACTCAAATACTAAGTAAGTAATAATCTTGTTTAATACGTGGTTCTGTGTGGGCACCTCCTCCATCAGAAAGGAAAGCAGAATTTGCAAGAAATTATCTAAACCTAGGGGCATGTGGCTCCACCTTGAGAGATAAGGAACAAATGACAAACCTTTGTTGACTAAACTGCCTTACCTGCTTTCTCTCAGAAGTGTCAAAGTAGAATTTTTCCCTCTCCTGTCCTTAACAAACTGTACAGGATGCTTGTGTGGAGCTGATGCCTGGACCTCCATTTTCAGATACCTGTGTGATCAGCAGCAACAATGTGAGTGTCAGTGGGACAGCCTGTGGTCAGTGTTACCTGTGTGCTTTGCAGGAGGCAGGCCTTAATGCAGTGCTGCTGCATATGGCATTTTAGGGGAAGTGTCCAAGTAAGTGGTCACCCAAAGTTTTATTACTTAAAAAAAAAAAAAAGTAAGTTATGATATCTATACATTAAATGGATGTGAGAATGGCTATGTCTGTGTAGAGGGACTGTGATAGAATGACAACAATGCCTTTTTTCCTTCTTTTGTTACTCCCTTTAAAGCATGATTCTCTTTTCGTTGTTTTTTTTTTCAGGAGTGTTTATTTTATTTTCCCAGGTAATTTCTTTTTTCTTCTCATGTATATTAAGAAGTAATTCTGAATGTGTCAATTTTAATTTTTCTTTATAGGTTCTGCCCAATTGATATTTAATGAGACAGATGGTGTTGAAAGAACTGCCTGTAATAAAACTGTAATTTTACCTTGCTATGTGGCTAATCTAAAGGAGCACGATTCAAGTGTCATGTTTGTTACGTGGAAAAAACAAGGAAAAAGAATTTTTTCTTTTGATGGAGCAAGACAGCAGTTTTTCAGAGATCCAGCGTTTCCATCAGCTAACTTAGTATCTCAGGAAAATTTATCCAAGGGTATTGCCTCTCTCATGCTTAACAGTGCAGAAGCAGATGCTGGAAATTACAGTTGTGAAGTAACAGAATCAAGCAGAGAAGGAGTAACAAGAGTTGAACTTAGAAACGGCTCAGGTGAGTTGCCTGCCATTGTTTTAGAATCTGTTGGGAGAGAAAACAAGCAAAATCTTATGGGAAGGAGAAAAATAATGAATATGACAATATATTGCTTTATATTGAAAATACAAAAACTGTAGCACCCAAAGCCTTAAATGCTAATATGAGTTATTTTGGATTGATTTAGAGGGGAGTGCTTCTGTGGGAAAGATCTGAACACATTTTTTCATTGTGTAATAACGTTTGAAGATCACTTGTCTAATATAGTAAAATCTGTGCTTTCCTACCTCTTTTAGTTTGTATAGTTGGTGATATTTTCAGCACGTACATGTTACTGCATGATGTGCTGAAACATATTCCTAGTATCTTTGTAATGCTGAGATGTACACGTCCATCACAGTGGTTGCAAAGATCTTCTCTGTGAAGACATGCTTCTTGCAGTCTTTAGCTATACTGGAAAAATTAGAGATAGAACTAATGGAAATTCTGTAGAAGAGCTCTAAAACTTGATCTGAAGATATGCAGTTTTCCAGTGAGGTTAAAAATGCTACTACTAGATGGTAACTTGTTATGGCTGTCTAGCATTAAATGTCATCTTCAGAAGATGATGTTAAACTAAAATAATGGTGACTAAGTGATGAATATCTAACTTTGTGAGCCATTTTACCTTACCAGACACAGCCTGTGGGCTCTAGCGCCTCAGTTATTGAATAATGAAATCTGCTGTGCATGTGCAGTCTGTCTAGTATTCTGCAGGAGTGACAGTTTCACTGAACATATGTGTGTATTGTTTATCTGTTCGGCACAGGAGACTTGCTTCTTCCTCTTGGAAAGCTGCTCAGAAGCACTGAATATGTTCCATATGCATAGCACATGGTATCTTCACTGTGCACTGTACAATTGCCCGAGGACATTTTGGCTAGTAGTTTTTTGCATTTGGCATTAAAATATATATGAAACTCAAACAGATGTTACGTGTGTCCTGCTGCAAACATCTGCGTAATTTACAGTTGGGTCTAATTATTGAGTTAACCATACACACTGCAAAACAAATGTGATCCTGAAATGGGTTGAGAGGGGCACAGCCACTGAAAGCGTGAGGATACTAGAAAATCCCTCAGTTCCTAGAGCACTGGAAAATCGGGGGAAGAGGTAGAGCCAGTTTCCTTCCTTCATAACATCTTCCTCACTCAACCTTTTTGCAATTCAGTGTTAAGCTCTAGAAGAGGAAACAAGGCTTGAGGATGTAGTAGAATAAAGTACCACTTGCAAGTGTTATTGTTTTATTTTTACTTTCTCTGTGGTTAGAATTTTGAAAGCAGTATAAAGCCTACAAAGCAGGAAACTGATGTCGTTTTTTTAATTTCATTTTCTAGTTGTCAGTTGCGACGAGGAAAAACCCCCAACACCAAAGGATAAATGTGGTTGGTGAAGAATTTATAGTTGCGAGGTCACATTAGGTTTGAGACTATATGCCAGAAAATGTAAAACTTAGTCTTATGTTTGAGGTTTTAGCTGAAGGTAAAACAGTCACTTGTTCTCTCTTTAAATTCTTCTGCATAATTTTTTACTGTTTGTTCCTCGGTGTTCTAGAGAGACTCTTCAGATAATAAACTAACAGAAGAAAGTGTAGAAAGTGAGTTTTGAAAAGGGTTAGTGAATAATGGAAATCCTGTACCAGTCTTCACTCTTGTCATTTCTGAGCAGTGAATTCATCCTGTCACTACTAATATGTTCCAATTGATGCTTTTACAAAGGTAGTCATGTAAGAGCCAACTATTCTCCATCTCAATTTACCAAATTCCTGAATTCACCTAGGAAGTGGGTAGCAGAGTGAGGAAGACATATGCTAGTGCCCTTGTCTTTGTGCACT